GGGGGAAGCAGTGAGAAAGGAAGAAAAGAGGAAAAAAGCCCTTTTTGTTGTGGAAGAACGTCCAAGGTGCGGTGAAAGGGAGTGCGGGGCTGTAAATGATGTGGAAGCGGCCCCGCAGCATCACTGGGAGGGCAGAGCCCGCCTGGGGAGAGCGGGGAAGGTCAGTCAAAACCTCTACCACCCAGCCTCTTCTGGGGTGGTTTCTACAAGTGCTGAGCTTCCTCCAAAGCTTGTTAAAATCCATGTTTGCTGCAGGTGTTTGCCCCCCCCCTTCTGAAACAGCAGACCATGAACATTGCTGTGCCTCAGTTTACCCGTGGGGAAAGTAGAGATGAGAATGTGTCCCCTTTGTGAAGGGTGGGACCATATTCCAGACAGTCCATGGGTGGGAGAAGAGTGATTCCCTGCTCTCAGATATGGTACAGAACCCACGTGTAGAGCACATTGACACTTTATTAATAATTACTTTGTGGTCTGGTCGCAGCTAGCACCAATCTCTAACTGTTTTAAAAAAAACAAGCATCAAGGCTGAGTCTACACACAGAGAGAAGAGAGGCGTAGCCTTTATATAACTCTCCTGGCATCCTGCTGAACTTCTGTGTTGGAGCTTGTTCAAAAAAAAAAACAAGGTAGTGTTAATTAGGGCAACAGTTTATTGAACTGATTTTGTGCGAGATCGTTTCCATCAAACTCCTGGCATTGGTTTGCCAAATTAATTTTCCAGGAATGAGGGCAGTCGTTCAGCTGTTGGGTCTCTGATTACAGGTGTTAACACGGGATGACACTGTGCCAAAAATCAGTTACATAGTTTTGGAGCATCTTTCTGTCGTTTGTGTCAATAAATGGGAAAATAAAGGCAAATCTGTTTCAATAATATAAATCCAACTTGAATTTTAAACTTCACAAAATAAAGAGCAATAGGCAAGTACTTAAAATTATTTTCAGTACATATAAGACAGCCTTAGTTAAAAATCTTACTAAAAAACTATTGTCACAAGCAGTGCATGTGACTTAGATATTCACTAATTGATAGTGAAATATTAATGATTGACATGATTCTTACTATTGGATCAGGGAACTTACCTTATACTGGAAGGTTGGGGATTCTGGGCTTGTCCTCCAGGATTTACATGCACAGGGTCAACAAACTTTTCTAATATCAACCTCACAGTTTCTTTAGACAGTGAATTGAGTTACGGTTTGTGAGCAACTAGAGTTTTAAGTCAATGAAGTATGGTTTGTGTTACCCTTAAAGGAACAGCAATGTTTATTTTGTATACCTAAATAGGAGACTCAATCGTTGTAGTTTTCCACTTCTTGTTTTTAGCGTCCTCAGTTATTTTCCAAATTGTAGTTCTAACTGGATGTTTCAAGATGCAGCCCTCACCCCCTCAAAAAAACTCCAAAAACCCCAAAAGACCACCACGTTCAGCTCTGAAAGACTTAATTTTAGATGTCAAAGGGCTGAACTATTTTTTTTTTTTAATGAAGAACGTCTGCTCTACCCACAGACTCCAGAAACTAACCTCAGCAGATGAGAATGGGATGAGCAAAGGGCCACTTTTATCTCTGCATTAAAAATGAACCGCCTTGTCAAAACAAGCAAAGAGGAATGGGTAAATTAATTGACCAACTTTAGAATTGAAACTAGAACCACTTTCCATCTTGCACTTTAGTGTCAGGACTTCAGTAAGATGCAGAAGTGGTACGCACGTTGGCATTTTTTGCTTTTTTAATGCTGACTCTGAAGGCATCTCAGTTTGGTATGGCATGTAGAGGGGGTATCGCACTGTGTGTTGTGCAGGTTTGTTGTAGGAAACTTCAGTGGGTGTTTTTCCATCACCACTGGTGTGGTCCATGGAAGCTCTGTGTGTGCTGCCATCCTTGGCTAGGTGAGCATCCAGGGGTTAAGCCAAAATTGGAAAGAAGTGGAGAAACTATCAGGAAGAGCTTGGATAGATGTGATAAACGGTGTTTGCAGTGGGAGAATAACTCCCCAGGAAAGGAATTCTTCAGTTTGACGCGGTGGTACAACCACATCAATTTATGCAGGACCAGGTATAACTCGGTCACCTCTAATTTTTAGGCAACCATTGATCTTTCTGAAGCTTGCAGGTAGTGCTCAGTGTAGTGAAATAATTTACATTATGCTTGAACTTCATTAGGCGAGGTGTAAAAAAGGTTACTTAGAGGGGAGGGAATGGGGCGTAGGGGGGAAAACCAGTTTGAAAGCCAAGTCATTTAGCAGTTTAATCCTGTAGTAAAAAAAAAAAACCAACAACCCACCAAACCATGAATGTATACATGCCCTGTTGTAATTTAGTAAAACAAAGTTTGCTGAGGGCCTGTCCCTCTCCTCTGGAGTTAGCCTTGAACTGTGGAAAGCGTTCTTAAGGTGTTTGGAGCTGTGGGGTTTAAATCTTGAAACTTGCACCTCCTGGTTTGCAATAAAAATATAAATCGACATTTGACCCATTTCTTCTCTACTAAACAAAACCAGCTTGGGCTTTTTGTTTAACTGAACTTAATGGTTCTCCAGACTAATGTTTGCAACCCAGACAGAGCTCTGCTGTGCTAATTAGAAAGCTTTGCAGAAAACACACCTGACTGGGAAAGATAATGAAATGCATTTGCTAATCCTGTTATTCCAGGTGAGTGCAATCCACCACTTAAACAACATGAGTTCAACAGTTAGCATAAAAGAAATTTCTCCTTTTTTTGTTGTTGGTTTTTTGTGTTTTTAATCCCTTTCTTTCTTCTCAGTATAGCATTATAAACCAGTTAGAAAGACCCTGTTTGGGGCAACTAGCGTTCTTGCTATATTATAGTAACTATCCTAAATGGTAAATTAAAGGCTGCACTACAATGGCTAATAAAGCAAGCTGTTCTTCTGGCTCAAGTAACATAGCTGTGTTTATTAGCTTGCCCTCTTAGTGAAATGTGTGGGCAGAAAAGGATCTTTATTGTCTTGTCGTTACCTCTGTTCCCATGAATGAGAGCAGAGGAAAACTGCCAGAAAGAATACAGAATTATTAAATAATCCCGTAATCCCTAAAGAAGAGAAAGAAGTGGTGCAGGACGTGAGGGGAAAAGTTGAGACCGCCGTCCTTCTAGCTGAAATGTCATGTGTGTTTTTCAGCTGTGCTAGAAGCTATAAAGCTTTGTGGACCTTTCTGTTGCTAGGGAGAACAGCCCTCGGTGAGTATTTGCTGTCTTTTGCAGGCTCTGACACGGATTAGCAAGAGAAGACTGGTTAGTCTGTTATTTGGTGATGAATTTAGAGACCGCGGCGGCTTGCTCCTACTTGTTTTGGAGTAATTTGCTAATTTTTCTCAGGCATAGCACAATTGTGTGCAGCTGGCAGTGAGATGGGCGTGTTTGGATAGATCTCTCTAAGTTTAGTCTTGGTGACAGATACAAATATATAAAGGGTTGAGATTTTTTTTTTTTTTTTTTGTCCCCGTTAAATCAGATTAATAAAATTTGAATGGAGGAGGCAAATTAACTCCGGACTTCTGTCTTCTTCTAAAGCTATGATTCTCTAGTGACAAAAATCTGTGAGGAACTCGCAGGAAAGGGTAAAGATGGGCTCTGTGATGGTTACAAATCACTGTTAAGTGCTGGGGCTATGGACTAGGGGAGTACAGTTCTGGCATTGGAGGTGACCATGGGCTTTGTCTGCTTTTGGTTTTGGTGTCCTGTGTAAGACAGAGTACACTGGCCTGTTTTTTTTAATAAGTATGGAGTACTTGAATGTGCAGTCTGAGTAACCTTGGAGGGCAGTATGTGTTAGAAACAGCCCTGAGATATCTTAGGTTCATCATCCAGAACTCATGGTAACCGGTACCAGCCGCTGCTGGACACGTTTGCTCTAGGAAACACGTTTTTCATTTGGACTTTGTAATCTTCTCAATTGGCAACAGCTGAGCAAAAGTTTGATTTTTTTTCAATCTATTTTACCTTTGGTTTCTTGCATAGTGAAGTGGAATACCTATCCTTGCACATAGCCCAGAATTTACAAAGGTGACATACTGTCTGTTCTCATATGCCCAGCATTTGTAATGAAGCCTTAAGACTAAGGGCTGTTGAATAAATCTTTTCAAAATAAGCAGGTCATTTGCCTGACTCTTAAAAATAAAAGTATTCTGATAGGTGTTTCCAACCCAGTCCTTTCTGGGTAGGTACTGGTGCAACCAGCCTGATCTAGTAATATTTGCAGTATAGACACAGTGAAAACACAGCAAAAGAACCATAAAATATCCATATTATATGATAATATAAACAGGGCTTAAAATGGCTTGATGGCAGCTGGTCCTCTGTTTTAGGGAATAGAAGAGACTCGCATCCTATTTCCTCTTGCCCTCTGATCAAGGACTGTGGCAACATAATTCCCTGGCTGCTCTGAGCCCAATTTTTCTGCTAAGACTCCACCAGAAAGGATGCTGCTTTCTCAAGAGGGGCAGGAATGGAGAACACGGCCTTTATTCCCTGCTGTCTCTGAAGAAAGCCTGATTTTGCACCAAAAGTGCACGATGCACTTTTTTTTCCTCTTTTTCCAAATGCAGGGTCATCAGTTTTCTTACATTCGTGTAGTCTTGTTGAAGGAGCACCTTTCAGAAATGCTGCTGGTCCACTGCAGCTTACCACCATTCTCCATCAATTGGCTGGTACCTTCCCAGCATCAAACGTCCTGTAATACCAGAAACACAATGTTCCTGGTTTTAAAACACGGGAGGGGAATTCCTCCTATCCTAGATGCTGCTAAGTTACCAGCTCCTAAGGAAGCAGGAGGGTGCTGATAACCCTGGAGATCAAGTTTGGTTTAGTTAAGTGACTGTTAAATGAGGCTTCAGCTCTTCATCTTTCACCTTTGGGATCTCGTACTGCCATGCTGACAGAGATGGCCTTTTT